TGTGCTTTCGTTTAGCCCCTGCCGGAGGGGCAGAACCCCAAGACCTTCGGAACCCAAGGACCGACTTGGGGGCCGTGTAGTGAGGCGGCCTGGCTCCCGACGGCCCCTGAGAGGGCACAGCTCCTGCACCGGACTATTACACAGACAAAAAACGTCGATCAGAAATTTCCCGTCCGGCTCTCGCTCCTTGTCCAAAGCCGAAGGAGTGTCTTGCAGGCGCTGGATCTGCAGGTGGCAGTGTTGCCAGCAGAGTGACTGAACTACAGCCAGGCTCCTGTTATAAGGCAGAGGGCCCAGGCCCAGCCAGCCTAAGCACTGTGCACATCCTGGGCGTGAACGTGCAGAGTGTGGCCCAGGAGGCTTGCCATAGCTCTGCTGCATGCAGAGACCAGCCCAGGAGAGCTTTCATGCAATGTGAAGCAAGTGCCCTTTGTCCTGGTCCTTCCCTTGCTGCAGGTTCGGGCTCAGTTCCCAGCCCGCCGAGGAGAGCAGCTCGGCCGGGAACGCGAATCTTGCAGCTGGAGGCGTCTGTGAATTGGCTGCAGCCAAGGGAAAACTGCTGCTCACCCTATTAGCCGCGCCCCGGGAAGCCATGGCACCAGTGCTGCTAGTGCTTGGGCTGCTCCTGGGCCTCTACACCCTCCTCTATTACAACTGCATCAAAGGGGCCAAGTGTAGGGCCCAAACCAGCCTCCGAGGGAAGACCGTGGTAATCACAGGTGAGCGGGAGAGGGGACAGGTGCCTCCAGGGGCAGTGGGGGCGCTGCCTGGGCTCTGGTAGATCGTCTGTCTTCAAAGTGGGAACACCCCCGGGCCAGGACTCTGATTCTCACGCAGCATGTTCTCTCCTGTTGGCAGAGCATCCAGGGGCATGGGTGCCAGGCCCAGCTCTGCCCTCTCCCTGTATGCCACAGATGTGAGCTCGCTGCATCTGGCTGGAGCTACCAAGGCTCCTGCAGTCAAGGGTTGGGATCCCAGCAGATTTGACTCCGCTAGTTGAGACAGATCGGAATCACCTGGGGTCCACCTTCAGTCCAGTGGCCAGGGCTGGATTTGTGAGACGAATGGGCAGGCAGCCCCACAGCAGGGTTACGGGATAACCTGCCCCCCAGTGAAGTCTCCTAGCCTGTAAGAGTTTGAACTTGGCTGGGTGCTGAGTTGCTCTTTCCCTCCCCAAACCCTTTTCTAGTATTGACTAGTCTAATTTTGGATATGCGTGATAACCATAGAAACAGCCAATCCCTCCTTGGCTGTGGCTAGGTTTTGGCCTCAGCACCATGCTGTGGCAATGCGTTCCACAGTCTATTCCTAGTAAGAAAAAGGATTTCTCGGTAGCAGTTCCGCATAGAACACTGCATCTGGATCCTCTAAATGTGACTTTCAAAAAACAAAGCTCCCCAGGCAATTTCAGTGAGAGGAGGTTTGGACCCTGGTGTCCTCGGCAAAGTTCTCTTCCCCTGGTTTGTTGTGCAGGGGATTGTGTGCTGGCTGCGCACTCCTCATAAGAATGCCCCTACTGGGTCAGAGCAAAGGCCCATCTAGCCCAGTATCCTGTCTTCCAACAGTGGCCAGGGCCAGGTGCCCCAGAGGGAATGAACAGAGCAGGGAATCACCAAGTGATCCATCCCCCATCGCCCATTCCCAGTTTCTGGCAAACAGAGGCTAGATACCATTCCTCCCCAGAGGCGGCTGCATTTCAGGCAGTCTCTATGAATTGCTTTGAGAGGGAACGCAGTGCTACCACAACACAGAGCTGGGCAGCTCTTGGTCTCCTCCTTGGGCCCAGCTCCTTGTTCTGCTTTTCCAGGGGGAAACACTGGGATTGGGAAGATGACAGCCCTGGATCTGGCCCGGAGAAGAGCTCGCGTCATCCTGGCCTGTCGCAGCAGAGCGAGAGGAGAAGCGGCCGTCTATGACATCAGGCGGGTGCGGGCTCTGTGCTCCTTTTCTCTTGCTCAGATGGATGCAGTCTGAGCCCCCGAGATGAGCAGTCACTGCAGTATGGCAGGCCTGCCCCGTCCTGTGCCAGTCACGGGACACTGCCGAACTTTGCGAAAGGCGAGGGTCCACCGAGGCTCAGGATGGGGCAGACCCAGGGAGGTGCAGAGGGCAGCGGTACCAGCTTGGGGAAGGGTTCAGGTGCCATGACACATAGGAGAGGGAGCAGCATGTAAAGGCTCTGCTGCTCCCCAGTGAGGCGAGGGGCACAGATGCCAGCAGTGGGTGGGGAGTGGAGGGCTGCAGAGGTACTTGCCTACAGAGAAAGCTGGCAAGGGGTTTGTGCACATTCCACGGGCATGGTGGGCCCCATTTCCATATGCAGGGAGCTAACCAAGATGACAGCATCCCCCAGGCTGGATTCTCTGACTGCCCCAGGTATGCCTGAATTCCCCGTTTACCTGCCCAACTGCCAATTTAACACCCGGTGAGGCCTTTCTCCATCCTGCTCAGGTGCCTCAATGTGGGCTGGCTGCATGGTGCCAAACAGTAACCACTGTGGAGCCTGCAAAAAACCCGCACACGCACGCTCTGGGGCTGGGTGCTCTGAAGGGAAAGCAGCTCCCTCTGCTAGTTCCTGTTTGCAGTGTGCCCCGTGCTTCAAGGTGGAAACAGGGTACCACCTTCCCCGTCGCTGTCACTGGGCCGGAGCCCCTCTGCCCTGTGCACCACTGTGGCCTACACTGAGTGCCTCCCCCCTCTTTCTCCAGGAGAGCGGGAACAATGAGGTTCTCTTCATGAGTCTGGACCTGGCCAGCCTGGACTCGGTGCGAGCATTTGCAGAGACTTTCCTGAGATCTGAGCCTCGCCTCGACATCCTGATCAACAACGCAGGTGGGAATCTCATTACCGAGTCTGTCACCCAGCTCTGGGTGGGGCAGGGGTAGGTAGCTCAGGCCCTGAGGCTGTGCTGAGGAGGATCTGGGGGAAATCCCTGGATGCTGATGTTGGGTTGATGACTCCCTGAGGCAGGGAATAACACCCTGTAGACTGGTTTTGGCTTGCAGGACCCTGTCAGGTGGAGAAAGTCCTGGACCAGAGATCACTGCTATATATTGGAGCTTATTTTTTTCTACAGGGGTTGGAGCAGGTGGCAGGAAGAAAGATGGCTTTAACCTGGTCTTTCAGGTCAACCACCTTGGTCACTTCCTTCTGACTCACCTCCTCTTAGAGCGGCTGAAGCTCAGTGCACCGAGCCGCGTGGTGATTGTGGCCTCCAGTGCACATCGGTTGGGGAAGATAGACTTTGAGAACCTCCATAAGCCGGTGGAAGGGATACTGCAGAACATCCAGGCTTACTGTACCAGCAAACTGGCCAACATCTTGTATGCCCGAGAGCTGGCCAACAAACTGGAGGGAACCGATGTAACCTGCTATGCTGTTCACCCAGGTGAGTGTGGGTCCAGCCTTTCTCTAGGGATGCACCTTCCAAATCCCACCCAAGTTCCTGGGGGCTATAGATCAGAGCCTCGCTACTCAAGAAGGGAAGTTCAATCCAGTCCTGTTTGAGACCTGCCTCAGGACATCCAAACTGGCTACTAAGGACAATAATCTCTGATTTAGGTTAATTTCAGAACTTCCCGAAGAGGGGTACTCAAGCTCCCAGACTCCTGCGGCTCTTCCCTTTCATACTGAGCCTCCCACCCAGTCAAGGAGGACTGGTCAGCAATCTCAATAAGAGAGGCAGCTTTCTAATGAACCAAAGTTACTCTTTACCCCCAAGGCCGTGACCCCTAATTCTGCAGCTTGCCCTGCCTGTAATTAAATTCTCTTTCCTACCTCTCCAGCACC